ATGCATGTAGATCACTAACTCATTCCATAGAGAACATTGAACATGCATTTGGTATCATTTGGGCTGTCAGCCAAGAGCCAAGTTGATGTAGCTCTATCAAGCCATTGAGCCACTAGTTGCCCTGGGAAATATCCTTCGGAGGTGTCAGAGTCTCTCCGGATGGGCCGGTTAGGTATGCAAAGGAAATGAAATCAGAACGGGAGGAGTTGTGTGTCTGGAAAGAATATCATTCTGAGCTCATTAAACTCCAGGGCTTAGCTGACGTACAAACAAAGGGAACTAGGCAAGAAGTGGCCAGCTTAGGTGACTTAGAGTGAACCTGTAAAGAAGTATTATCCCGTTTATAGTTTGTTACCAGACGGACTTTCACTTGAACCAGATTGGTGACCTAGCACCGAAAGGACTTTATATTGGAGTCTTATGTTTCACCCAAGAAACAAGAGCGTTGTTTACCCATGCATACCTTGGAAATGAGAAGGGGACTATACTTTGGATTTCTTTTCTGGCCACCACTCCCCCTGCTAGTGAAAAGGAGCCCATGTTGCGCCTCTCAGTAAGCTGCGCTTTAAAACAAATCCCAAGGGAGAAAATAGAAGGAAATAGCATTACTTACACAAAGTGGCTGGAGTGGCTGCCTCCAACCTCAGGCGTTTTTAATTTCTGTACTAGAATCCTGATCACATTTACAAATATAATGAAGTTAACCTGAAAAGACAAGACGAAACTACTCAGCTTCCCACCATTCGGGCCTGGACCTCAAATGGTGTCACATCACGCAGATCCAGCAAAGTCCAAGGAGCTATAACAACTGCCACTGAGAACCCGGCACTCAATGCATGTGAACTCAAGCGAATGATAGGTGCCACATTTTCTAAGTTGAATTCAATTCAGCAGACAAATCCTTTTTTTCAAGGCGACTAAATAAAACATGGCTTGAGAATGTGGATGCAAAACACATTTACTCTAGGGCAATGTACATCCGCTTTGCACAGTGACATAAATTACTCAATTTTGCACAGTGGCATAAAATCCAAAGTGAAGAAATAGCCAGTTATTCCAGTAAGTGCTATTACAGCATATAGACACTGGAGGGGCAGGGGAGGAGAAAATCACCAATCGAGAATTTCTACCTCAAGATAAATCTGAGTATGCAACACACAACCGACACTGGGGTGGTTCACACCTGTTTTTTTTCCGGATAATTTGTGCATCCACTGCTTTTTTTTTTCTTACATTGGTATAAAGCACATTTTTGATGATGCTGAGCTTCTACAGTAACTTTGTTTGGAGCTTAGTTACTCAAAGCCAAAATCAGGCCAGTTGGACCTAGATACCCAATTATGGTTTTAGGCACTAATAGTTAGGTGCTGCAATTGAAAATGCTGGCCAGTTCCACACTGATCTGCCAAACCATATTCTGAAACATGATTTCAAGTCAATAGGGGCTAAATCTTTAAATGTACTTTAGGAGCATAAAGATTCAAGGAGGTCCTTTCTCAAATTTTCCAACCTAACTCCCAAGGATAGTCAAACATCCGAGCATCTTACTTATGTGAACAAGGGATCATTTTTAACATTGATCCTAAAGATTCGATTCCAAAGTTCACAAGAAAAAAATAATGGAGAAGAGGCTTAAAAGTGTCTGGGGAGAGGAAACTTGTTCTTCAGCGATTTGGAGGGAGAAAGAGAAGCAGTAGATATATAAAAGATAAATAGCTACGTACATCACAGCCCTGTACTACAATGGCCTGTATTATTAGTAGTACTGGACGTGCCAATTGGGAATCCTGCATCTCCGTTAGGAGGCACATTGTGTCTTCAGACACATGAATACAGAATGTGCCAAGCAGATGGTTTTGTCTATGTACTGTATAAACTGAATCTGAGGACCAGAGGTAAGAATAAGCCCTTAAAGCCAAACTCTCCTGTACTGGAAGAAGTGCAACCAATGCTCATGCACAGAGCATTTAAGAATGGCTTCATCTTAGCATATTCCTTGCTTTAACCTTTAGTAATTCACCTTGTATCCTCTCCTCGAGAGACCCTGCACTGGTGCCCACAGGAGCTGCCGTTGTATCCGCATGACTTGCTTGTGTTATTGCTCTGCTGAAGCCGAGGAACCAGGACAATGATTTGCCCCACGGTTTGTCTGAGAGTTGCAATCCAACTGGTGCTCATCTGTCTTCCATTTGCAAGACAGCAAGAGCTGAGCAACAATTTCCATCCTTTGAAACTTCAAAACAGCAAATGCCACATGTAGCCCCACATCCCTATCTTACTGGGAAAAGACAGGCTTGGCTTTCATTTTTCAAAGCATTTAGCCCCCCCAGAGGTAAGACTCACTAATATAGTAAGCAGGATGGGTCCCTGGATGATCCATAACACCATCCCATTCTCGTCGTCATCCCAGCATCTGAAAGAGGAAGCCAAAGGGCTCAAATGAACTCCCTCAATTTTTTTTCCTTTTGAATATTAAACAATCCAAGTTGTGCTACAAGAAGTCAATGTTCTTAACTAATGACACGAGCAACTTAAAAGTATAGCCCAAAAGATCCTCCAGCGTTCCTCCTAAATACGGACCAGTGCAAGGAAAGGTCATTTAGCAAAAGGAAGGACTGCAAGATTGTAGGGATTTTTGTTATCAGCTTGTCTTGCAGTTGTTTGGTTGTCTTCCTCCACCCTCTGCACCCCGCCTCACCTACCAAGGCAAGGATGTACGGGGTAAAAACATTCCTCTCACCCTTGAGACGACCCAGGAGAAGCATGCACTAAAGCAGGGGCAGGCAATTATTTCAGGTGGAAGGCCACTTACTGAGTTTTGGCAAGCCATTGAAGGCCGCATAACAGGCAGCCCAGGGCGGATTAATATTAATTTTCTAAATTTTTTAGGGGCCGCGCGAGCTGGATAGAATGGACTGGTAGGCCGCATCCAGCGCATTTTGCCCACCCCTGCACTAAACAAATGCACACTAAAAGAAGATGGATGAAGAACTGAAATGAGGTTGCATTCACAGCACTGTGCAACATGAGTGAAAATGAATGATGCTGATAGATCACTGCAAGCCACAAGCATAGCAATGGGCTGTACAGCCTATCACTTCTACACTGGCAGCGTGGATCCTATTTGGACTGCCTGAGGAGAAATCATTACTATCTCACACCTCTTTAGTAGTTCAGCTCCAAGCAAATCTCTGCTTCACAGATTTCATAGACATTAGGGCTGGAAAGGACCTCATCTGATCATCAGGTCCAGCCCCCTGCCCAAAGGGAAGGAAGGCAGCTGGGGTCAGATCACCCCAGCAAGATCAGCATTCAAGTGTTTCTTGAACGTATCCAGGGTAGGTGCTTGCACCACTTCTGGGGGGTAGTCTATTCCAGACTCTGGAGACGCAGACGGTAAAGAAGTTTTTCCTAATGCCCCGTCCAAAATGGTCTTCCAGCAGTTTGGGACCATTAGACCTTCATATGTGGCTCCTTATTAATAAGTGTATTAGCTCAAACAACATGTACCTTTTTCCCCCAAATAAGACCTCCAAAGCTGGAGTGCATGTATTGATCAAGGAAGATGATTTTCTGCCTGCAATAGAAGTGACCTGGTTTAATTCCTGTTCCACAGTGCAGCATCTGTGCTATTACTATTTGGGCAGCTGAGGGAACCTATTGTTTTTCACTCTACAGGCGTTAATGATCATCTCTCCTTTTTAATGGTCTCAATATTACACTTACCATGCTAACCTTTCTTAAGGCAATCTTGTTTTCTGCTAGCTGCTCTTGGTACTCTCTCCTTCTACTGCACATCTCTTTAGCTCATTTCAAAATCACAGACCTGCCAATGGAGACCAGTCTTGAGCAGCAGCTAGGGTTTCAGCCTTAGTTAAGCAGGAAAGGGAGGGTGAGTCAGCTGAAGCTCAAGCTCTGTCCCTGCTCTATGCAGCCAGAACTCTGGAAAAATCTTTTTTTTTTTGTTCTTCATTCTGCCTTTCAAAAACAAGGTATGTATTATAGTTTTGTATGCAAGAAAACATGGTAAATAAATGAAGGACCAAGGAGATGAAACATTTAGCTATTATGTCACGTCCAGTAATCGGTCATTGTAGCTGAAATATAGTAGGGAGGTGTTGAGAAGCATGCACGCTGTGATGCTGCCCCTATGAAAAAAGCCTGAAACCGAGAGCTAAAGGAAGATTGTTCCAGGAGACAGGTCTGGCAAGAATACAAAGTCCTTTAATCAAGAACAGTGAGGTGTGTGAAAGGGCAGAGGAGAGGAGCCCCAGATCTCACACAGTTAAAACACAGAGCATAATATTACAGACTCAAGAGCTCAGAGATCCCATGCCCAACACCAAATACTACATAAATTTGAGACCAGCTACCCAAATTTCATACTGGTTCCCCAAAATCTATGACCAATTTATGCACTGTGGTTTTTCAACAATAATAATTATTGGGTTATTTTTATTAGTGTTCTGTTTTTAAAAAAAAAAAATAGCCGTTTGAGGGGGGAACACTTGGATTGTTTTTTTTCAAGCTTTTCTGTGCAGCTCTGGGAAAGATTAACCCTTCTGTTTCTGAATGGAAGCAGAGGCTTGCTTCCACTATTACCATTCCAGGAGCTTGGGCTTTAGGAAAAATAAAAATGGTGAGATTTATGACAAAAGCGTCTGAGTTTGCAGAACTGTGGGTACATAGATCAAAAGTGGAAGGCTTTTTAAAACCATTTATCTAATGTGCCAATTTCTACATTTTAAATATAAATGATGCACAATCTTAAGCTTAAATTTTCATTGTTTCAGTGTTTCCCTGCTGATGAATGCAATTTAATATGCAAAACAGGATGCTCTCCCATCACAACCATGCTTTTCTGGCTCACCCTGTATTTTGTCTGTAGATTCTGGTTACAATCCAAGCAGACATCACAACAGTGGGAGCCCCTAAAAGAATTGAAACAAATATATGGTTTCACTTTACACAGGGGAGTCCAGGCACATGATATCCACACTGCTTAACAGAGCTATGAAGTGGCCAACGAGGTACGACAATAAATTCCTGGCAAAGGTGCCAGATGATCTCAAAGTGAATTAATAAAAACTTCTGGTTATCTGTTCAATAAAAAGCTAATGAAATTGAGGTGTATAAGGAAATGAGAAAACAAAACAAGAACAAAAATCTATTTTAACCGGAGATTAGAAGAGGGATAGAGGGCCACTGAGAACGAGACAGAGGAAGATTTGGGGATGAATGACAAGCTTTTGTATGACGCACTTAATCACTTACAAGGATTTAGCTATAAGTGTTTTAGCTCTAGAACATTCTGGGTAGATAGTTCCAGTCCTTTGGCAATGGAGCTGTAGGAGAGGTTATTTATCTGTGATGAAGACTCATGACTGTACACAGTAGCCAACTTAACTGGCAAATGCTCTCTAACCCTCTATCCAATGGTTTAGAACTATAACATAAGACTGCACTTTTTAGTCCCACCTCTTTCATCTTTGTTTGCTTTCAGATGGCTATTTACAAGCCTTAGTTCATCAGGCCTCAGAAAGACCTTAAGAGAACAGTACCTCTTGTTTCCTCTTATTTAATGATCAGGGGACTTTGTACACGCCACAAAATTGGCCTTTAAAGCAGCTTAAATGCCCTTTTGAACCACTTAAATGGTGCTGCTGTTTGCATGCTCAGTAGCGTATTCCGCTTTAAATGACTTTGTAATATAGCAAGATAAAACACCTCTGAGGTGTTTTAGTTTCCTATCTAACAAAGTGCAACAGCGCACGCAGTGCTGGAAGCCAACGTGTTTGGGACTTGGTGGGATTCCAGCGTGCCGTGCACCATCCTCGCTGCCTTCTCCCGCTACCAGCACACCCAGCCACGCTTCTGCCGCCTTGCCGCTCCACCGCAGGGGCAAGCCAGCCAGTCCCGGGCAGTCCCAAACAGTGGGAAGGCAGCAGGAAGGTGGCAGGGACAGTGCCAGAGTGCTAGAGCTTACCTGCCTCTCCCACAACTCCGCTTGGGAGGGACCCACCAGCAGCGCATGCACACACACCACCCTGCCACTGGAGAGGGTCTCCACCATTGTGTACACACCAGGGGGGGTTAGTTTGGTTTAATTCTCCCTAAATTGAAACGGTGGAAATTTAGGAAGAACTAAACCAAATTAAACCACTGTGGTGTGTACAAGCAGCTAAGGGAACTAAGGCTTAGGCAGATTTTCAAATGGGGATTCTCAGTGGAAGTGTTTTAAATACTGGGCTTCCAGGGTTAAGCACTGAGTCCTAGATCCTATTTTGTTTCTAACGACCTGTTTATATCACTGCTTCCATGATGCTCCATCACATACTGGAGACAGGTATTGAGATCAGTAGTGGCAGGTCCTTCTAGGAAGATTCCTGTCCTTCATTGCCAGGTTTGGCCTGCACAGAGCAGGAACGAGGGCAGGAAGAGCTAGAATCCAGATACCCCAGTTCACAGGAAAGAGCCAAAGATACAATTGGGCAAAAGTGGGTTCTTCTCCTTGATGCATTTGTGATCTCAGCTTCAACCCAGCAGGGGTTCTCCAACTAAAGAATAGGGGGCTTAATGTGGAGCCTCTACCCTTCCCAGACACCTGAGGGGGAGTTAGACTTCTAGTTGGACATTCAAAATTGCTTCTGAGCTTGCATGATAAGCAGGGGTAGCGGCCTAGGGAGGTCAAAATGCAGATGTAGAGGGAATCTGCATGACTTTGTGACTTCTACCCAGGGCAGAGCAGAATCATGTTTAGTGCCTGGGATGCATACAAGCTGTGCAAGTGCCATTTAAACATCTTAGATTCAGGACAAGATCTGGCACCTCTTGTCAAATCCTGCCTCTACTGGAAGACAATGAAAAGCTCGCATTGACTTAATCGAGGCCAAAATTTTGCCCCTGAGACCAAACATTTTAAGTGTCCATTACATTTGGGCGCTTCTGCTTTGGAATGCTGAACCTGAGGTACCACTATTTCTGCAGTCTGAAACAACTGCCTCAGTGCAGCTATTAGAAATAATGATACTCATCTACCTCATGGATGTGTTGCAAAACCTGACTGAAGTATTTTTTTCCCCAAAAATTGGGAATGTTTTAGTAAAATTGGAAAAAATATACTTGCAATTTTTTTAACTCTTGCTATCTTGTAAGACATTTTCAACCGAAAAAGGCATTTCATGTGCTATTTCTTGCATTGCTCTGGAAATAAATGTGAGGCAAGCATACAATAAAAGGAAGGATTGTACTAACCCCAGCCAGCCAAAATGAACCACCACACATACTGTTTGTCAGAAACAAAGGTCAACAGAAGCAACGTTTGCAGGTATATCCCTTCTACCAGGAGCCAGAAGAAGTTGGCTAAAATGCTGAACTGAAAGAATGCCACAGCCGCCTTACATGCAACCTAGAAACACATGGGAAGAGGAGAACATTACTTCCAGTCTCTTGAATATGTGGTTTTTCAGGCCCTGAGCAAAGCTGGAGAATCTTGACTTGAAATGAATATGAGCTTGCATAGGGCAAGGCTCCAAAACCCCTTGAAATCAGTATTGGACTTTGGCATTTCTCTGGCCAAGGTGGGCTTTGGCATTTCTTTCTCTAGGGGCAGGGGTAGAACAGCTCAGGACTCTCTCCACTCCAGATACATGAATGCAAGTCGTGCTTCAGCCATGATGAAGGCCACCTCTAACTGACCCAGCTGTAAATGGCTCCTACCTTTTTGGCCTGGGAAGTCCAAGGCAGTGGGATTTGATATGAGCCACATCACTCCTTTGTGTGCTGTTGGCAACAGATACTGGCATGCCTTAACCATATTAGGCCTAAGATTTGGTAAGCTCAGGTGGACCTTTGACCTTCTGATTTCTTTGTGTTTGTGATATGATTTGCTATATTAATTCAGACCCATTCCCCCCAAAACATGCACTCATTCCCCATAATCAAACTATTAGGCCAAACTAAGAAATATCCATGTCTCCTTCCCAAATAAAGACCAAGCATCAAAAGAAACAGAGGGAAGAAAAGATAGGTACCGTCGACATAAGGCAGTGGTCCATGTTTTCATCTGCAAACAGGACAGCATCTTTGGTGAAAACAGCAGTGGCTCTCAGGATGAAGGAAACAAAGAGGTGCATGTGGATAAAATTACGTGTACAGTGGAATTTTCTGAAATGGCAAAAAGAACAAGAAAGCCAGTCCTCAAAAGTTTAGCCTGCTCCATCAGAACCCCAAATTAAAATAAATTCAGCGTAAAAAAAAAACCCTCCCATGGCATATAAGTACAGTAGCTGTATTTAAGGAGAAAGTTAGCACAAGGTGGGAAGTCGTCTTTGAAAACAGAGGGAGAATTAATGTCAAGAATACTGAAAATCCTGAAGAATGAGAGCTTCAATCTGTAATGCCCTGCTTTGTGAAGGGCGTTCCTCACAGTAGGGATTGGGTTTGGGACTGCTGGATCTAAAACTATCAGCTTCTATTCCTTGAACTAAAACATCCAACTTTGTTAAGCAAGCCTGCACCTGACTCATTACCCTACATATGCAAGATGAAGGAGCCAGAGCACCCACTGAGTGGGTGGTGCATTGCAAAGGAGTGATAAGGCAGGGTCAGAAGGGCAACATGACCCTATACTACCCTGATTGTGCATCTCAATATCGAAAGCTGCTTCTGGGGGCATCAGAGTAGCTCAGTGCCCTTTTCCCCTGGGCTTCTCTATAGAGATTACCACTGATGATACCAATTAGTGCCTCTTATGGGAGTATAGTTGCACTGCACATTCCTATCCAGTTAGACAACTTGGGACTTGATTCAAACCTGGGAGAGTGCATGGAAAGGCCTCACCTCTTCTCACTTACTCCAAGGGTCAGTGGATTGGGTTTCTATTGCACAGGCTACTGTGTTGAGAACCAGTAGTAACTTCCTGTTGTTGTTAACCAGGACTGCATTTGTATTAATGGCCTAGAAATAAAGGGTTCTACTTTCTAACATCCCAAATCAGCACATGTAAAGCTCTGACAGAACAAGGAGCAATGGTCTCAAGTTGCAGCAAGGGAAATTTAAGATGGATATTAGGAAAAACTCTCTCACTACAAGGGTGGTGAAGCACTGGAATGGGCTACCTAGAGAGCTTGTAGAATCTCCATCCCTGGAGATTTTTAAGGCCTGACTCAACAAAACCATGGCTGGAATGATCTAACTGGTGCTGGTCCTGCTTTGATCAAGGGGTTAGAATAGATGACCCCTTCCAGCTCTAACTGGCCCCTCCCACACCTAATTGTCTATGATTCTATGACTTTTTCCTCCCTAGGTTGACATTTCTGGACTGTGACATTTGTTATTCTATGTTAGACAAGTTAAAATTGACTCTCTTAAGTCATTCACTATAACCATTAACATTTAAAAACATTAACTCTACACTACTATTTTTTTT